GAGGGGTGGCAAGCATCAGAGAGCTGGGTCTAATTCCTCCCCAAGTGCCCATCACCAGGTGTATGTGAGAGCAAGTTGGCAACCGTCACCACGGCAGGATGCTGCCACTGGGCTTTGTGGAAGTGTGATAATGAGCAGTAGATAAAAGACGTGGGACAGCTGTTAGCCACCGGGCTGCAGTTGGCATGGTGCTGAATGTTCTTTCTTTTCTAGGCAACAAGTTAAGACTAAAGCTATAGAGCCCTTTTATTAGAAGTTGGCCAGGAATAAATGATTTTCCTTCTTTTTCTCACAACATCTCCCTTCCCGCTGTCTTCTGTATTTCTCTTCTTAGAACGCTAAAGCGCATACCTTCAATTAGTTTGAAAATTCTGTAACTTTTAGTCTCCCAACAGGATTAGACCTGCTAAGAGTAACTAGTGTTTTCTATCTGATAAATAAGGGGATTACAGCAATAACTGCTGTCAGCATTTTTCTCATTTAAACAAATAAAGCTGACAAATGATGAAGTTCTTTGCTGCTCTGTTATGTTTAGTACATGCAGAGCAATTATTCATCTGCTGCCAACATTAGTCTCCGTACAGCTGAACCATCCAACAGCGTAGAAAGCTTATTAGCATATCAGTCCCATAGTCATATTTTTATATTCTGGAACTCTAGTCCATAACAAAGGTCGATGGTTATAATTTACACAATAATTTAAAGGGTTGGACTTTTCCGTGCTTATCAGAGTTACACAAGTTATGAGGTACAGTGGTACTCTTATTTATGAGACATCATCTTCTGTTTGCCTAGGAGTTTTGCTCCTCAGTAGCACTTCCTACGAACAAGTTAGCTGCCTTCTTTGGAGATGTCGGAGGGGATGGCCGTCTCTGAAGCACTGTTGGATGAACCGCAGTGGAGGGGAGTGGGTGGAGGTTTCCTTAAATAGAGCTGTCTCCATGGATGTTTGTCACGTGCACACTTGTGTGTGTGTGTATGTGTATCACTAGACAGCTGTAATGGAGATTTGAGAAGAAATACGCTATTTAAAAACTTTTATTCAATAGAATTATTTCTTGTTATGGTAGAGATAAGTGTAATAGAAAGTATTCATGGTTTTCCAAGAGTTCTGTTAGAGGGAATGATTTGACGACACTGAAGGCTTCCTGTGGGAAGAAGGCCTAATCCAGACAGATAGTGTATTTGGGGGTGTGGGGGTGGTGATGTCACTTGTGGCCTTTCAAAGAAGCCTGCCACCCCAATGCTCCCTGCAGGGAAAATATACTGTGTTTAGAAATAGTTGGTTTATATTCACTTGGCTTCTCCAGTCCCCTGGGAGAGCCTCTGTGAAGGATTGTAACTGAGCCATCCTAACGTTGAAACTGTGACTTCAACATCGGGCTTTCACCTGCAGTTAGTCTAAAGGAGGGGGTAGTTAGGTAGGACGTTCACGGTGACGGTCCGTGGTCTACAGTTTATGCTTCCCAAAACAAACATGAGGCTTTCTGTCTCTGTGTCCTTGTGTCCGTGTTTAGTTTCTGTATTTGATGCTCTGACATCTTGGGGTCTTGCTGCCCCTGGAGGGACTGTCCTGCCAGAGGGCTGGCTGATTCCCAGAGAAAGCCAACAACTGGCTTGTGAGAGTGCCTTTCATGTGCAGACCGACCAATCCAGAGCCCACCATCCCCCTAGCCTCTTCATTTATTAAGCTCTCGGACTCCAGGCCAATAGGTCCCTATTCTTGCATCAGAACCAGGAACCTCACAACTAGGGACAGCCATTATGTCCCAGAGCCCACTGAAATTATTCAAACTAGTCAATTCTAAGCCTGTTTACCCTGCCACTTCCCATGGAAACCACAGTAAAGGCTCTTGCCCCCATTTCCCCCATACCCTCCTGCCTCCTAGCATCCCCCAGGTGGTCCTGCATGGTGTGTTGTGCCTGTTGTTTCTAGTGCTTTCTGAGTGTAAAGGTCTTCTTTCAGGACAGGTGTTTCTGTTTTGTGTGCATCTTACCATACCTCAATAAAACAAATCCTGGGTGTACTCTTAAAACACCATGGTGCCTAGATGAAATCATAGCAAATTTTGATGTTTGGATGTGGAAACTACCTATTTCATAAGCACGATCATCCTGAACCATTCTGAGGTGGTGTTTGTCTCCATTTCCAATCTAGAGGAAGCTGATAACTTAGATGTCCTAATAAGATGGGGAAAGAATAAATACATAGAATAGAATTGAATAGGCCCACCTTAGCTTGAACACATTTCTAGATTTTTTTAAAATTTTATTATGTTAGTCACCATACATTACATCATTAGTTCTTGATGTAGTGTTCCATGATTCATTGTGTGTGTATAACACCCAGTGCTCCACGCAGAACGTGCCCTCTTTAATACCCATCACCAGGCTAACCCATCCCCCACCCTCCTCCCCTCTAGAACCCTCAGTTTGTTTCTCAGAGTCCATAGTCTCTCATGGTTTGTCTCCCCCTCCGATTTCCTCCCTTCATTTTTCCCTTCCTACCACATTTCTAGGTTTTTAAAAATTTATTTGAAGGGGGGGCACCTGGGTGGCTCAGTCGTTAAGCATCTGCCTTTTGCTCAGATCATGATCCCAGGGTCCTGGGATCGAGCCCTACATCGGACTCCCTGCTCAGCAGAGAGTCTGCTTCTCCTTCTCCCACTCCCCCTGCTTGTGTTCCCTCTCTGGCGATCTCTTTCTGTCAAATAGATAAATAAAATCTTTAAAAAAAGAGAGAGAGAGAGAGTACAAGCAAGTAGGGGGAGGAACAGAGGGACAAGCAGACCTCTTAAGCTTATAATTGAATGCTTCTCTGAGAGACCCCTGATTCCTAAATGATGGGCATATTCTGTCTCAGTAGGTCCCTTGGTCCTGTGACAGAATCTCTGACACCTGGATGCATTGATTTGGTGTTCTCTCTTTTCCCTTCCACTAGTCAAAGTAAATCATCCACCGTTTGCCTCAAATCAAAGAGAGAAATAGAACAGAAGCCCTCTGCTCAACAGCCCCAGTTCCTTACTTTTGTTTATTTCAACTTATTTTCAAATCCCCAGCATGTGCAGCCGCACTCCGGTCTGCTTTCTGTCCTAACCGTTCCTGTTTTGTCTGGTGGCTTAATTTTGATTCTCCTTGTCTCTTTCACATGCCAACCCCACCTCCTCCTCACCCTTATCTTCCCCCTCAGACTTTATATTTGTTTAAGTGCAAAGATGAAAACACCAGCGTCCATCAAAACCCCTCTAAGGGTCCTTTCCTCTTCAGTGCGGGGCACAGCTTTGGGGACACCCACATCTCTGCCAGGGAAAAAAGTATACTTCTGCACTGGCCCAAGCAGGGAAACGTGAATTATCAACTCTCATCAAGATGATTTTCTATATGTGGTCCCTCGTCAAAATTGAGAGAATGTAACTCCAGTTGCACACGGTGATTTATGTGGTCATAAAACTCTCTTTCATCACACACTGTAAGTAACATGCTATGGACTGGGGAGAAGGAAATGTCTTCCCAGCCTTGACTAATCCGACACCTCTGTTCTTGTTCTTTAAATCCTCTCACCACCCAAGATAGAATCCCATTCCACCTCCTCCCTCAGGAGCCCCTGGCTCATTTAGTTATACTGATGATTCTGTCCCGTGAATTTCTTTTGAATTTAAAGGAAAAAGCATAATCATACACTTACTATTTCTTTAAATGGTCCCTGCATTAGTCTTATTTGAATAATGAAGTGTAAGCACCTAAAATACCGGGGCAGAATTTTAATTTTTGAGATGGACATGAGCATGGTGTTGGTTTTACTGGAAGACAGATCTAGGTTCAAACCGCAGATCTTCCCTTATGAGACCGTGTAACTCTGGACAAATGAATTCATCTCTCTAAGACAGTTCTTCTGTGTGCATAGTGGGGATGCGATAGTTTTTCCTGCATCAGTGTGTTGTGAAAATGTAGTGAGTAGATTAAAGGCTTATCGTGATGCTAAGTACGTAAGTGGATTTCAGTAGGTATGACCCCTTTTTCTCCCACACCACCTATCCCAGAGCAAGGCACAGCCTCAGCATATAGGGTGGACGGAGCGAGCACGCGGACCATCAGGGCTGCTATATGGCTCATGATGATGGGACTGACACGGCTAACGAGGAGTGTCCTCTTTCATCCTTGGCACCCTGTGCAAGGTGACCATTCTTCCCAAAGAAAGGAAGGCTGATAGTCCTTGGTCAGGGGTTTGGAAGCAACTCACACTCCCTTGTAAGAAAAACCCAGCACATTTTCTGTTAGGAGGATGCAAAGTAATGAATAATAATAAACATTAAGAGGTGGCTGTCTTAGTTTTATCTTATTTTGCAGATGTAACCTCAGCTCCTCTTTCAACAAGAGCCTCTCCTTCCTTTCCTTTCAGATGGCCACTGCTAAAGGAGCCTTCCTGGGCTCTCTTGTCAGGGGTTTGAGACTAACATAGTTCAGTTTGTCTGCATCGCATTTGTTGTCTGAAGCTTGTGAAGCCAAGGCTTGGCCTTTCCTTGGTTTCCTTGCCTGTTCACACATGATCATGGTTCCCTCTTTCTCCTAAGCCACACTGCTAGACCCTTGCCCACTGCCATATCCAGGGGGAGGGCCATTTAAAACCACCTGGAACTACGTCTCTGGGGTCCGTGTGTTGAGGCCTCTTTACCTTCTAGAATCCCAGAAGTTAATTGTGATACTACATTCCTCATAGTAGGTTTTACCCCAAGAAAGACCAAGAAAGAGCACCAATCAAGGTCCTGTGAAAATTATATTGTATTGGAGCCACATTGGTGGGTAATACTTAACACTCATGTTTTCCAGCCTACTCAGCTGTTGGAATTTAATTAGCAGCAATATATTATTGTCAGAGTAATTAAAACCTTGCCTTGATTAAAAACAGAATTGTTTAATTAACAAGAAAAGGTTTGGCTAACCTTAACTTTCTGTTTGAAAAATACAGCGGCCTCAGTGGATCTGCTCTGTCTCCCCATCAGGCTTGAAGGTCCGGGAGGTGTTTATCAACGTCACCAGACAGCAGGTAGAGGATTTCCACGGGCCAGAGGACTACTGGTGCCAGTGTGTGGCCTGGAGCCACCTGGGGACCTCCAAAAGCAGGAAGGCCTCCGTGCGCATAGCTTGTGAGTACATGAGGGGTGATGGTCTCGTCTGGTAGGAATGCGGGCCAGAGTTCAGTGCAGCCGAAGAGGGGCTTGGGCTGTGCCGGGTGCTTCTGTAGACTCGAGATTAGCGGATGTCAAGAAACTATCACAACGATCTCTATCTCTGCTAAATTTCCTGTTTTAAAGTTGTATCTTAAATGTTTGATAATTTCCTCTGGCGTACAATAAGCCAATCAGTTACGATAAGCGATTCTGCCTAGACTGTCAGAGTGCAGGTGTCTTGACAATGCCAGGAAAATCAGTTCCTGAGAGAAAGAAACCCAGGTGAATGGGTTCTGCTGTTCGTTGTCAGTGACGAAGTTCAAGGGGCATTGATGGAGAAAAGGTGAGCAGTGACTGTTTACTGCTCTTTCCAGCAAATCTGCAAAAATAAGACATTAAAGATTAAGGGATTTTTGTAGCCTACTATTAAACCTCTTGCTTCTGAATCTTAAAACATGGAAATGGGTTTTAAAACTGCATGTGTTTGACCCACGGAGAACTCCAAAAAAGGAAAAGAAAAAAAAAAAAAAAGACACTGGGAGGGGGAAAGAAGAAGAAAATTGCTTTTCAGGAGAGTCCAAGATTTCTTCATCATATTTCAGCATCAGTGTTTTTATCATCTCAAACATATTTAGAAGTACAGAAACTTCCTTTCTCCTCCCTTAAAATGTCTTCATTCCCCTACTCCCATTCTCCCACCCTGATGGGTCCCCATAAAACCTCCTTTGTGAGCCCAGGAGTGTAAAAGCTCCTCCGGAAAGAAATTGAGAGAAGGAGGGCAGACTTCGTTATTGTTGTTTTATTCAAATGCTGCCTTTTGAGAGTGCCATAAAGAATACGGGACAAGGGGGATTTATTTGAGGACTCAAGGAATTCATAGCAGATGTCGATGGTTTAGGGATTGAGAATAGGAATGAATTGCTATTTGCAGAGACATTTATGTTTCTTGGGAAATGAAATCTTCTCAAAATATGCATTTCACCTTCACTATACTGGCAGTTTGGGAGGCCCTCTCCTGGATGTTGACTGAGCCCTACTAGGCCAAGGAGAAGAGGTCATTGTGTCAGCTGTGCTCTTGATGGAAGAGCCATGGGAAACCATTTTCCTATAGTTATTTAGTTAATTTTAGCCAACAAATATTTTATGACTCGAAACTGGCGGTCAGCTGAGAGAGGGGAATAATATGTTCAATTTTTACTTTTCCTTCCTTAACACCACCAGATCTGTGATCCCCACATGGCTTCGGCTAGGCTAGTCTTGGTATTTGGTCCTGGTCAGGGGGAAGCGGATTATCTTCCAGGCTCTCTCTCTCTCTCTTTCTCTCTCTGAGAGAAAGAGAGGCCAGGGCGCCTGGGTGGCTCAGTCGGTTAAGCGACTGCCTTCGGCTCAGGTCATGATCCTGGGGTCCTGGGATCGAGTCCCGCATCGGGCTCCCTGCTCAGCAAGGAGCCTGCTTCTCCCTCTAACCTTCCCCCCTCTCATGTACTCTCTCTCTCTCTCTCATTCTCACTCTCTCAAAATAAATAAATCTTTACAAAAAAAAGAAGAAGAAAGAAAAAGAGAGGCCAGACAGCACAGGGGATTTCAACATGGCCTCCCTCCATGTGTGGCTTCTCCACGTTGACTTTTCCTGATCCTCCCCTTCCTCCACATCTCTGAGGCCCACATGACCTATTCTAGGATTTACTAGAAATAGCATCTCACTGATGTGTCACCTCCAGGCTCTCTCACCTCCACACTTGCTTGCTTCATTTCTGATTGTCACTTGCTTGCTAGAAAGCTCCAGGGGTTTTCCCCTCGCTTACAAAGTTTGGCAAAGAATAGCTCCAGTTCTCCTTTGTTCATGTCCCATAACCTTTGATCATGTACACCATATCCTTCCAGGCACTTGGCTATTCTGAATATCAGCCTCACTCCTCTGAAGTAAGCCTTTGCGCCTACAATTTTCAGGGTCACCATGTGTACTGTGGTGGTTAGGAAGCCAAGGACTGCCTTCCTCTCGGTTTCTGGTTCCACTAGTTGGTTTTGTGATGGTGGACAAGTTATTCATCTCTCTGTGTCTTAATGGTTCTAATGATAAAAGGGTGCCTACTTCAAGAGTTACAGGTATTGATAACTAGAAAGTGTTTAAATCTCTACCTGGCACAGAGAGTTAGCCCTTATCAGTTATTAGCTGTTGTTTTATGACATACTTGAGCCTCCAAAGAACCAGCATCACTCCTCAGTAGGTGTCTTACTACTGACTAAAACTAATTGTACTGAACTAAAATTGTAGTGCCTTAGCAAATTTTCTGCAGATTATGGCTATATGGACTCTAAAAATCCATTTTAGGGCAGCCCTATGATCCAACTCTCCCAAGCATGATAGGATCAAAGAACGTTACAAATGGAAAACCCTGTTCTATCATTTCCTGCCTTTTTAGAGTTGTCTGATACTTTTGTGGTAATAATCTCATCATTCTCTTCGAGTATTAAAAAAATCATTTTGTCATTCTTGTATATGATATGCACATGTGAATATGATAAGCATGTGATTTTTAAATTAAAAAATTATCAATAAAACCTGTATTATGCGATCTCCTGTATTTAACATATTTTTAAAATTTTTTCCTATGTATCAAGTGACACATCCTTTAATTTATTTAAAATTATTTATGTAAGTCAAAACATGATTTGTCATTAAATATTGCGTTTGACTTGGGGACCAGTGTACATTAAAATGTAAATTGAAATTTAACTATGTTTAATGGCATCAGAAGTGGAGGGGAAAAACTTGCCTTTAGGACCTTGCTTGAAATTCTTTTCATTTGCTTGTAGGGGGGAAAAAAGGCACTCTCTCTCTCTCTCTCTCTCTCTCTCTCTTTTTAATAACTTTCATGTTTTGTTGAAAGAGATTTCTGGCTGCTATTTGCAAGTACTTCCCAGCAAATAACACATTGCACATGAGAATAGTCTTTATTCCCAGTAAATGAAAAGCCAAATTGGATATAATTGTCACTGTGTTTCTTCTTTTTAAGATTGGTTTTTGAAGTACTAAAGATATCTTAATGTGCTAAATATTTTGATAGATGAATGTAGCTTATGAATCTGATGACAATTGTCTTGAGGGGACTTTGCAAAATTAATATCATTTTATATTATTCATTAAATTATTGTAGTTCAACATCAGAGCTCTGTATGCTTCCTACATGTAACCGATGATGCATTCAGAATTTAACAATTTTGAAACTGCAACAAGCAAAACCTTCATGGCAATTGGGGCATTCAGCCAAGGGGTGTATTGACTGGAGTGCCTTGACGTGATCACATTAGGTAATCTCTGCAAGAATATCAGAAAGCTCACTGGCATGATATCACTTAGACATCATTTGATTTTAAAGGAAAACAGGATAAATACAATTATTTTATTTATTTAACTCATATTTTTATTGACATGGACCCACATGGGTTATCAGTTAAATGTGTAGATTCTTAGCTTCCACCCCAGGCCTGTTGGATCAGATTCTGGAGGAGGCACCAAGGAAGCTGTGTTTGTATGAAGTTATTCAGACAATTCTGTGATCAGGTAACCTTGGGACATCCTGCCCAGAGATAGTGCTTCTCAAACTTTGACATGCATGAAAATCAACAGGGATCTTATTAAAATACAGATGATTCAATTAAAATGATTCAGTAAGTCCGGTCTGAGGTCTGAGATTCTATTATTTGTAAGTGTTCCTAGATGATGCTGCCAGTCAGTCCGTGGGCCATAAATTGAGTAGCAAGACCCTAAAAAAAAAAAAAAAAAAAATTTATGAAGCACTATTTGGGAAATGTTGATTTAACCCATTTGTCCAACTGCATCCTTTAATACCTTTATAAGTGATGTTCAGAAAAGTTAGGTTGGCTTGACCGAAGGTCCACCCAGCAGATGGCAGATATCGTGGAGCCAGATATCACACCCATTCACCCCTCCTCCGTGCTCTTGCTACTATTCCATGTTGATTCCTTTCTATCAGATGGAATTTGAGAACCACCATAGAAAGAAAAGTTCACGTGCATTTAAGTGTTTCCTTAAGGAAAGCGGTGATTGCCTCTCCATTCTGTATCTGGGTAAATTCTTCCTCGTGGTAAAGTTATTGCATTTATTGAATATATGTCAATGTATGTAAGTTGTATGTATTATATATACACACATGCATATATGTGTGTGTATACACACACATGCATGATATGAAGCCACAACACATTGCTGCCTTTGCCTCGAGAAAACAGCACGGGCTTTGTTTTAGTAGCCAAAGTGCCTGTCATCTTAAACTTGTATTTTCCTTAATAATTCCACACTGTGTCAGGGAGATATTGGCCGCCTTCCAAATGCCTGGGGCAGGAAATAGCTGAGGCCCCGTTTCAAAAGTGATCTTCTAAAGGTAAAAATAAATAAATAAAGCCACCCCCCACGCCACCCCCACCAGGTTGGCAGAAGCCCATCTCCAGGGAGGGACTCCTACGGGCCTTCTCTCGTCTGTCTGATTCAATCCAGCTGGAGGTAGCCGGGCCGCTGTGGTATCTGTTACTTATGCTGCTGGACCATTGTCAAAACTAGGAATATTCAATTATTCCTAGTTGTTTACTTTCATGTGTGAACATTTGGCTGCTTAGCTATTGCTTTTCTTGCCCGCTTTTCTCCCTCTTCTTCATGGGCTTACAAAATGTTCTGCCAGTATCATTAACCCTTCGTTGGTCAACTGATGCTTGAGACGTGGGCCTTTTCTCGACTAGAAGAGCTGGGGCTGGAAAGAGGGGAAGCTGGTGTCTGTTAGAGTCACCTAGCAAGCTGCCCCCCCGGAAAGCAGGAAACCACTGTTTTGTTGATTTAAAAAAAAAAAAAAAAAAAAGATCTATAAAATATCCTGAATACAATTTAAATAGGCTGCTTCTAAAATATCTGTGCCGTTGTGCCAAGAATGAGTGGAGAGTTTAAAGGAAAACCTCATTTA